TTGGTCTCCGTCGATAGCTCTTCTTGCTCCCAGCCCCAATCTCAGGTGGTATGGGTTTCTTCCCCATACAAGAAGAAGATTCACTTTCCGAATCCGCGCCACTGCTGACGGAGTCGAGGAGAAACCACCCAAGGAGGAACTCGAATCTCCTTTCCCTTCCTCCTCGCCTTCTGCGCTCGGTAAAGACTTGAAAAAGGAAAGGTGCCATCTTTTTTACTCGGATGGATACAGGGATTGGTCAAGCTACTGACTTTCTTTTTTTCAATGCAAGCAGGTCGTTAACAAGACTGCAGCAACCTTTGCCCCAAGGGCGTCCACCGCCAGCAAAAACCCAGCTGTCCCTGGAACTACTCTTTACCAAGTTTTCGAGGTTCAAGGATATGCTTCCATGTTGCTGGGAGGTGTCCTCTCTTTCAACCTCCTCTTTCCCTCTTCCGAACCTGATCTCTGGAGGCTGATGGGGATGTGGTCCATTTGGATGTTCAGTAAGTCCCCTTCCCAACCTTCAACTTCATTCCAATCCAATCCAAGCTGCATTTCATTTCCCCCCCCCCCCCCTAACCTCCTTCTACTCTAATTAATATGCCATGGCAGCTATTCCTTCTCTTCGCGCCCGAGACTGTCCAAGTAAAGAGAAAGAGGCTCTTAACTATCTCTTTCTCATCATCCCCTTACTCAATGTTGCTATTCCCTTCTTTTGGAAATCTTTTGCTCTTGTCTGGTCTGCTGATACACTTGCCTTCTTTGCAATGTATGCCTGGAAGGTATGGCTCCTTCATTATTTACTGCAATCATGATTCATTCTTGCCCGATTACTTATTTCTGGTGGTGGCTCACATTCGATTTTGCCTCTTACTACAGCTTGGATGGCTGGAAAGAACAGAGTAGAATCTTTTCCTTATAATGATTCTTCATTCAGCTTCTCCGAGCGTATAGAATGAAGCCTTTCGTGTCAGGTACGTGGGTTTAAGGCAAATGAATGTGAACATTGGCTCTACAAGGGAAATTTGAGCAAGCCTCTTAATGAATATTCTTGTAAATCATAGAGTTTTGAGATGAATTTTTCTCACAAATAGAAATGCAAGTACATATAGGCTTTCTTATCAAGAATGCAGTGCAGCTGGTGAAATTTAAAGAACATCAAAGAATTGAGCATATTTATATCTCATTGCATCCCAGTGTCTGTGTTGGTTCTTCTTCTACTCGACAGAGAAAGCAATATAGAAGGAAATACATGTGTTTGGTCCTAGGCTAAGCTTTTTCTCATCTTCTCCAGTGTGCTCTCGATAAAAGCATCGGATTTCTTATTTATATCATTTAGAAGGGGCCTTAGACGTCTATGAGGCCGTGGTGGTTTCCCTGCTTCAGGCTGAGTGATTTGTTGCTTAGGGCTCGGCTCACTCAGCATGCTCGTCTTCCCTTTCTCATGTAACCTCTTCTTTGGGCCGTTACTACCATTAGCCAGTGTGATCACCGTCTCTCTCTCTGATTCTTGGCTTGACGAGCCAGGGGAGTTGATCTTGTTATCGTCCGAGTCTTCTATTTGCTTGAAATAAATAGTGATATCAGACCTTGATCCCTTCTTGATCAGTTTGCTCCTCTCGCGCTTATCTTCATTCATCTCTTTCTCTCCCAATAACCCTAGTTTAGCCACCACAAATCTAAACATCCGTCGGCAAATGCTTGGAGGCCGCAGAGAGTCGTTGCTGCTGCTGTTGTTGTCGTCATCATCCTCTCTTCTATGCATTCTCTGTCAAGGAGAAGCACTAAAGAACCAGAAAAGGGTTTTTTGCTTCTATGGGATTCTTGTGTTAGAGGAGTGGTTTTGGTGTATATGAAGAGATGAGTAAGACATTGGCTTTGCTTTGATTCTAGGCTTGTGAGATGGGGAAACTGAGACAATGAAAGCTTGTAAGTTTTTTTTAGTAATCCATTAAAAAAAAAGGAATATAGAATCTCCCTTGTTTCTTCTTCATACTCTTTTACTTTAATCTGAAAAGCAGAGCATATTTTTGAATATTTGTCTAAGTTTCTTCTTTTCGTGATTGAAGCTTTAGTAGAAATTTCTGCCAAAGTGTGGCATATTTTAGTTCAAATAATCAAAGTTCTGCGCACTAGTTCCCTGTGAATCATGTGTGATAACAGTTGGTGTAGCATAGTACCCTAAATTTTAATCTACTGAATTAAGGAAATCAAAGGTAAAAAAAAATGTAAGGAGAAACCCCAAGAAAAACCCACCAAACACAAAGTATACAACGAAGAAAACCAAAAGCCTCGTAAAAAAAAATTCCGTAGAGAACTTGTGTGACACCTTCCAATTCAGCTCACTCCAATCTCCGGCGGCGAGGTTTCACATTCTGCCATTGACTTCGATGATAGGAGACGCAGCCTCTGGACACGCGGGGGAAGATGTTTGGCTGGTTTTCTTGACACTGGTGGTGTCCACGGCAAGAAAACTCCAGTGCCGGCGTCTAGCCTCTTGGGAGGCGGAGCTAGCATCACCAATGGAGCTCTGACCATGCCATATGGGGTGCCTGGTCGCCATAGAGTGACGGGGTTCGTGGTTGGTGGAGGCTGAACCTTACCGGAGTCCTGTTTGAGTTTGAAGAAGGTGATTGCGACTCTTTTGTTGGGCGATGGGCACATTACGTGCCTAGCCATATCCGCGCTGTTACCTCTCATCACCAGCAACGACCTGCGAAACGCTTTTTCTGGTTAAAAAAAAAAACCCAAGAGACAATCAACATTGCGGAAAATGAGGGAGTTTACATTACCCTTGCTTGAGTGGCAGAGTGAGTGAGCCTCTGAAGTTGCCATTATTATCGACCCCGAGTCGATGTCCAAACACCATGGTTGATTCAGACAAAACAAGAGTGGATATGGGTTGATCCACGTGAGGTGGTTTCTGGAATGGTTGGGAGTGTTCATCCTGCAAACAAGCCCAAACCTTAGGTGGCCCGGATGGAGAGAGACAAGAGTGTAAGATATTGATATATGGGAATGAATTGGTAAGTATACCTCGTCGAAGAAGTTGATGACACAGCCATTGGGTCGTTTGTATTCAGGAATCAGACGCCATTGAAGAAGTTGATCGATCACGCTTTGAACAAGACTCGGGATAGGTGCCACTGCAAGCAGGAGTCAGCACAGCAGTTTGTACAAAAAGATGGCATAATCTCTTAAGCATTTAGGAAAACTCACCAGAGTGTTCATTGCCGAAAATAGGAATTCCAAGCTGAATAAGCTCTCTTTTAGTGCCTTTGGTGTTCTTGTTGAACAGAACAAATGTCTCCCCTGCATTTTGGGATGAGAGTAAAATTGTAATGAACCAATTAATTTATAAATGAGGTATCACACACTATGGTGAGACTGATCACCTGAGAGTTGGTGATTCCGACCAGCCTCTCGGAGCTCATTGACAGAATGGAGAAGCTTGGAGAGTTGAGTTGGAGTGAAGACGTCTTCGTAGAGTTTAAGGCCTTTGACAACATTGGACTGCCACAAGCAACACACAGTCTGATTAGTATTTGAAAAAGCAACTTCATCCATCACCTACGTTATAACTAGGTAATGAGTTTTGATAGATGTAGTCCAACATATTGGTCAGAGGAAGGATCATTGCTAAAATCTGTGTGTTTTCAGTCACTACGAAGCAACCAGACCTCTCAAATCAAGTTCATAAGCAAGCACCCTTGTTGGAAAGGGTAATGGTATCAAGTATCAACCCTCTCTCTAAAGAGGATGGGGATGTGAATGAAGGACTTGCCGTATGTCCTCGAACATGTTCCTTAGCCGAAAAGCGCTTTGACTGATGCTTGATGAGCAGTGAAGCCGGAGGAGGTTCGCAAGATTCGTCCTCGTGTATAGTCATGGTTTCCTCCACCACGCCTTCTTCTTCTCGAGATCCTGTCATTAATTTGCCTCGTTTGAATAATTAATTGAAGAACAAGTCGTACGTGATGAGATCCAATGCTTACCGGAATCTGTGATATCGCTGGTGGGAGAATCGTCGTCGAGAAGAGCATCATTATGTTGTTTGTGGAGGAGGCTGGTCTTGGCGGTGGTGGCGGCTCGGAGCTCGAGCGTGACTTGAGAGATAGAATGGTATTTCTGCATCTGAAGCACCGGTATCCAGTTCATTCGCCGCCGATGGATGGCTGCCATCACCGCCGAGTACTCCTCCGACCCGCTCCCTTCCATAATGTGTCCGCAAAGAGCATCGATTATGGCGTTGGCCGCCGCAAACTCGCCGCGAAACCACGTGAGCATCGCCGCCGAATCAGACAGAAGCACCGGAGCCGGAATATCAGCCGCCGAGTGATTCGTCGACGCAGACGCAGACGCAGATGGATTAACAAGCACCGTTTCACCCATCAAATCCAAGGAGGAAGGGTTTAAGAAGGGTTTCGCCGGACTGTGAATATGATTGAAATGATACACAAAGCGTCTTCTTCGCGTATTTATTGCCACTCGCAAAATTAGTACGTAGTATAAAATTTGTTATCTAATCACAAATATTTACTACTCATTAAAACTTGTTTATACTACTACTAATAATTAGTAGATGTGATGATTATCTGTTATTAATTGAGTGGGTCCCGTGGAAGGAAGGAAGGAACAAGTCATTGGAGTGCCTTTCGCTTCCGGGGAAAAGCCAAAACTGCCTCTGCCTGCCTGCCCTA